GTGATGATGTTAAGATGTGGCGGGCGATCACCGACCAAGTAGCTCATTTTGCACTTCAGCGAGAACCGGACAGAGTGTATGGATGGTCATTCTACAATCTGCTCCAATTTAATTCGGCCAAGGGTAAGACGATCCAAATTCGTCACCAGCCGAATATCAAATACAAGTTTCAATACCTTTACCTGCAAGCAGGTATCCAAGAGCGCAACATTAAGATATAAACCTTGGCTGAGTTGGGCCGCTCAGAGTAGTCTGAGATGGTGTCAAAGACTGGAAAACAAAACCTTGATATACTGAGGAGAGCATACGGGCGATTTTGTCCGTCTGTCTGTCAGTAGTTACTTACCACATACGTGCGATCTCAGGTGGAAGAGGAAAATCAAGTCTGGCAGCCCTGGCACAATAAAATTCTCGTACCGCTCGAGACTCCACAGCGAAGAGTCAACAAGCAAGTCAAAATGTTTTTTCACCTTCCATAACAACTTACACCGAGGGCTACAGAATTTTACTGCGCTCAGTATCAGCACCTACATGGCGACACAATAATGACCTACCAGATTCTGAGGAACCCCAACCATGTCTGTCGCCATCTACTACAACTCAGTCAAGACGCGAATTTTAGGGGTTTAATAGTTTAAATTGGCCACGCAAACTAGTTAGCCAAAATATCTGGGAAACCGTTACACTCTTCGTGTCTGCCAGCCGTGGAACGATTTCCCAACATAAGTTGTTTCCTCCCTCACTTTATCTGTGCTTTAGCTGTGCCCTAAATCACCTAAACTGCGAGATTATAGCCTGTGAACATCGACAAAGGATATAATGTGACAAAGGTTGCGCAAGCAACGTTAACGTGCACAAATGGTGGTTGACTATTAGTGCATGCCTCTGTGTGAATGCTGTGGTGCATCTAGCAAAACGCTTTTTATTTTATCACTTTGTTTTCCTTTCACCATTTTGCAGCTCTCATTCTGGCTATCCTAAAGGATTTGTTAAGCCATTACTTTGTCTTTAGAAATACAACATTGTTTCATCGTTCCATTGCAACCGAGTTTCACAAAGGCAGCATGATGAACAATGAACAACAATTTTATACGGGTTAAGAAGCATTGCTTTACAAGCCCCGTTGGGTGGTCTGCTGGGTTAGTGGAAAATGTTAATGAAAAAAGCAGTTAGTAGTTTTACTGTCAAAATAATAGACTTATCGTTTTTGATTCAGTAGCCCTGCACCCCTAACGTTTCCATAACTTTGATAGCCGAAAAATGACTAACTCCAATGTATTTCCCGGGAGTAGGATGGAGAGTAACGTCTAGTAACAAAAGGTAATTGGCGGGATGCCTCATCCAACCGACTTTTAATTATGGCTAACGTGGGTGCTGAAACAACCGATTCGAGGAGACCAGTCCATGGTTGACACACACGAATAGAAAAGTAGTTTCTACGGAACTTCAGGCTGCTTTACTGTTCTGCTACTTTCAAGGAGTGGCCTCTAAGTTTCGTGTTACCGCTGAGTTGCAATAAAGAGCGACCCATATGAGTTAGATTGTGTAAAACCAATTGCGCCATAATCAAGTCGTCTCGTAGTCGGCGATACCGCGCGCTGAATACTCCCAGACGTTTCAGCCTCTGCTCGTACGGAAGGGGGCGCATTCCAGTGACGTATTTAGAAGCTCGACGTTGAGGTTGGTCCAGTACAGTAAGGTCGTACTTCAGCCATGGTTGCCAGGCTTAGATTGCGTATTCGACATGGGACTAACATACGCATTCAGCATCTGTCTGAAAATAGTGGTGTCTATTGATCCGAAAGCCCGTCGTAGCAAGCCGAGGTGCTGGGATTCAGAATGATTGCGAAACCGACCTGTTACTCGATCTGCATAAGTGGTCGCATATTAAAAGTTGCCGTCCTGAACGTGAATCGAGGTCGAACCATAACTTCAGGTCAAAGTTCCTTGGTAGTGGCGAAACAGGCATTTGGATTAGAACAAGGGTAACGGGGATAAAGAAAGAGTAATAATTGGTGTGTGCTTGAGATTTGTAGGAGCCAACGAAAACATGAACAAGAGGGTGCAACGTAGTAGCAGCGTAATCCGTGGTTTTATTGAAGTCGTACTACTACCCTGTTGTAGTCGAATTGGGGAGTTGAATTATGAAACTGCACTTGCAGCCCTTGGCTCAACATCGTACTAGCAAAGCATCGTGACAAATTAAGGGAATTGCGTTCATTGGGAGCTGGTGACGGATCTTGCGGTTCGCACATCTTTTGACTGATAACTTACCGAAGAAGCCAACTCATCCCTATAGCGTTAGTATCCAGCTGCTAGAACCCAATGCTCCACTGGGGTGAAGAAACGGACAATGGACTTTAATTAGTAGCGAGTCACATCCGCCACGTTGCAGTGCTGTTAAACAACTGTTTGTGGCTTTTAATTGGAGAACGCCAGGCAGTTGAACTTGCACTACTTCCTGAAACACAGCTTCTGAACCATTTTGCTGGAACGGTAAAAGTCCTAACCACCCAGCTGGAACTACTGGAAAGTTGTTCGGTAACGCAGTCGTACAGCTGACGCCTTTCTCTTTCTCTCACTTGGACGCTATGTGACAAAAAAGATAGTCTGAAGATACGACCAAACAGTAGTTACAAACACCTAAGATACAGCTGCTGCGGTTACATTCCTAACGACCTACCTGACCGAGGTTCAAATCATAGTGAAGTGCGACAACACTTGAGGTTTCGTGTCACATTTCATTTACGCAGAGTAATCAAACAAAACAAACTATGGGTCATTAACCGTTGTGACAATTGTTACAATGGACGTGTGTTACTGGAATTACGGTAGTAATTGGAAACGACTGCGTCTCGGTTCAAAATCCGGTTCATCTACCTCCACTTGCAAAGTGTAAAAGCGCTTGAAATCGGTTAAATATTGCAGAATTTGAGTAACATAACGAGTACCTGACCAAACAATTTTCCCTGACCTATGAGGATAGTTTTAGGCGAAACAGTAGGTAACAAAAGACAGGAAAGCCGTGTACATTAAACCATCTAATGAAATTGTCTAGGGCTTGATGTCATCCCTGAATGAGTCGGAGCATATGGTAACGGCCGGCAGCACCTTGTCCACCCTGGGCTCAAAACCGGAAGCGATCAATTGGGCTGCGGAAGCCAACGCAGTCGCCGTGCTCTTGAAATTCCGTCCGGCCCGCTGCGCATGAGTCACCTTCCTGCAATTAGTATGAGGTCCATCAAGGTGAGATCGTACTAAGAGTTCGACATAGGACCATCAGGCTGGGCTTGGAAAAAGAGGCCTGTGGGTATCTGGATGACCGATTGATTACGGGTGCGGCCTGTTGTTTGATTGGACAATACTTGTCTACGCTGGATGATCAATTTTTGATCCGGGGATGTGCGAGTAGCCACTGTGACGCGGGAAGTAATCGACATGTCAGTACTCATCTGTTCTATTTGATCTGCTGTATCCTTGGACTTTGATCTTGACCGATAGTGTGCGCAATCAAGACCGTGGGGTAAAGGCCATCGTCCCTTCTACGGGTCGTTGCAACCGAGCAATAACAACAAACTGACTGGTCAAGGAGCGCGTGCACGTGAAATTTAGGTATGTTGTCAGGTATCCAGTAATGCTCCCATTTTGTGTGGCCGAGTTTAGATATGAGTATTTCCATCACTTGTGTACTGTGGAATTTCAGACGTTCTAACATTTTAGACAAAATTACGGCTTGGTAAGCAATACAACTTATTCCCACTCTTGGCTGAGTTAAAAACTTACACATGGGCATCCACCACGTAGCGCTGAACACAAGTTGAAAGTTTCCGGCACCACATAATATCTGCTATTGAACTCGTCTAACCGCATGTGTTTTAGATTGTGTATAAAGTTGTGGAACAAGTCTTAGGTTTTAGTCTTGAAGATTCGCAAATAGAATGCCAGTATATACGCAAACGCGAGTAGTTCAGACACTCTCGGTATACCAGGAAGTGAAGCAACAACCGGTTTTTCAACGAGGTGAGTGCGTCGAACACGTCTTCAAACCGAGAAACTCCTGGCTTCTTTATCCCTAATCCTAACCAACACGTTAGCTATTCGTTGACCTCATTTCCTTTACTCAAAACAGATTATGTTAGAAGGTACCATCTATCATTCACACACAGTTCTAGCTTCTAAGGGTATGCTGCCATGCACAGGACAGCGTGGAGAATGGTTTTGGAAGTGTTGAGAGCGTGGGCATCTTCTTGTGGTTGGAAGCATGCACAATTATGATCAGAATACCTTGTATATGTCCAAGCTGGCCAGGTAGGCATGTAAGGATCGTAAGTTATACCGGTTGAACTGGAGCAAGTGCGACGTTGTGAAGCCACTAATTGTAGCTTCCATCAAAGCAGTAGGGTATGCAATGCACCAAAAGCAGCGAGCACTAATAAACTCTGTTGGAAATAATCTGCAAATTGTTGCTACGCGTCCATGCCAGTGCGGCGCTTGTGGCCTAGATTTTCCATAGAACCTCTTATAATGAAACAAATTTCCTGGAGAGAAATAGATGTGCTTTACAGCTTGAACAGTTCAAGTTTATGGCGAAATCACCTTTAGCATTCAGTCCTTGATTATTGCTTTGGTATTCCGATTCACTTGGCAGCCTTGAGACCAGGCTGCCAGTTTAGTTAGTGATCGAACATCTTAAGTAGCGGAAATTGCGCCCTCATTGTTATGCGGTCCTCTGGTTATAGATGAATGGCATTGGGGTATTGCTAAATATGGCCCGTGTTCAGAAGCGACCCATGCAGCATTAAGCTCCCAGATTTGTGAGTAAAATGGTAGCAAGAAAAACTGCAATTACATTCCAGTTACGGGGACTGTATCTGCCGCTTCACATGCATCTCAAATAACCACAAATAACGTGATCTGTGCCTTAATTCAGCAGTTTTTCTCTGCCTTTGCAAAGTGACCAGATCGATCATGGCTGGAAGGCAATAAGCGGCCTCTTAAATATGAACTCAATCGTCGTTTCGCTTTGTATATTCATTGGAAATAATCAAACAATATGCCTTCGTCCGGTTGTAGTAAGGTCTGACCTATTATGCGGTTTTGTTTGCCAAAGCTGATTGATTTTCCCGACACGTATTGACTAGCCTATTTCAAACGTTTCTTTCACTCAGAAAACCTTTCTCAACTGACGGCACCTCGGAACACAAGCTGTCAAGTGAACATTCACATTACATAATGGAGTCGAGGATGGAGACAAAATGTATTCTTCCGCCTGAAAGGATTTCGAAAAAGATCTGCTTCATCATGAATAATATAACCACAAAAAATTTGAAAAGGCAAGTGGATGAGGTGACATCAATCATGCCACATCATTTCTCACGTTGGCTGGCTGAGGCAATGCTTAGGCGTGTGGCCTCGGAACCGAAAATGCACGATTTGTATGCCGAATTCACTTCGCAGCTTTCAGCACATTATCTCAACTTTGAGACTCACTTACTTGAAACGTTGACCAAAGAAATTGACCGCATCCTCAAGCTGAACGTTATTGACCCTTGCAGCGGAAGGACACTGAAACACCTGGGTGCCTTTCTTGGTCGTTTAACCATCGCTCGCGATATTCCTTTATGTGTGGATATCAAGTGTTTAATTTACACGGCTTTCAAAAACAAACCGGAGTCCTTGGATTACATCATTCCTTTTATTTCGGAAATTTTAAAGAATACAAAGTACAGTTATTCAATAAAACCCTCCAGTCCGTGGGTGAAGGAAATTTTGCAAGTTGTAAAAGAACTCCACCATTTGACCGACAAACTGCCTATACAGTTTGAAATCGAACTCTTATTCAGCTTTCTAGGATGCGGTATGAACGAAATGAACTCGGCATTCTACTTGCGTCATGCCCCCTGACAGTGTTTCACGCCCGGTGTGATTGCGAAAAAGGTGAACATTGCAAATAACAACCGAGTGAAGAGAAAGTCTGTTTTCTGACCTTGCTTCGATGGCATTAGACAGTGGGGTGAGTTGATGACTGGCGAAACGGCCAAGTATATTTTCTTGTCGGTCGTGTGAGGTCTATCTCGTATCTCAGGGCGAGAATCTTACGAATCGGGCTTAGGTGATTTGGAAAACCGCCACTAATTTAGATGTAACTGTGGCCTGCAAAAGGGGTCTGGAACGGAACTAGTCAGGTATGTCTCAGGAATTTCTGTAACGTTATTAATGGTTGTAAAATACGGACCACGGCAGAGATTGGATACCAAGTGTCCCTATTAACAGTGATTGTTCTTGCCGCGTCGCGGCCGTTACCGGAAACAAAGTGTAGACAGACGGTGAAGTACAAGAGACCCTCGCTTGCTTAAAAGGAAGGACCGTATTGAAACTAAAAGCTTACCTGGATTGCACGTGTAGTACGTACCTTTAAGGTTCGCTCGATTCCGTCTCCAAATATTGTGCATCACTGAAAGCGGTTGCTTGTCGTAACTGTCGCCAAGGGGGACACCAAACCACTGGGAAGATGCGGCCAGGTGTCCGTTTCCTCAAGTTGCGCTGTTCGGTGTCAGTTGTGGTGCTTGATAAGAGTAGACCTACCCGGATGGAACTCAATAGCCCCTCTGCGGGAAGTTAAGTGGGTAATTGGTGATTAGATCCACTGCAAACGCGGTATCAATTTAATTGGAGAATCATTTTGAAGTACGGATTGTGTGATTAGATTGCAAAAAGGAATCTCAATGAACAGTGACATATTACAGGTAAAAAACGATTGCTTTACAAGTCCAGGAGGATGGTTGAAGTGAAAGCCAACATAAGTGCAAATCGTCAATTTAAACATCTAGCGATTCAGGTGCTCTGTTTCATTTAAATGTTTTAGAATGCGTATTTAATTGTTACTGTAGAGTAATATGGGGAAGGTACGCCTTAAGAACAAAAGAAACGACAACACTTACTCGTGCGCCGCTTACTTGGACTGATGTAATTGATGCATACAGTTGTAGTATATCCGGACGATATTCCACAGCAGCAGCGTGTAAGTAGTAAAGCACGAAAGCTGGGAATTAGCACCGTTTGGTCGCGTTTGGTTGATGTAGACATCACCGATTACATAGCGTAATGTAAGTGGATGAGAGAATCATCCAGACGTCCTTTGAATACCGTTAGCGTGGGGAAGCATCAACGTTCCATCAAGCGTTCCAGTGTTGACACACACGAATCGAAAAGAAATTCCGGGGGCATTCCAACCGGCTGTATTGTGTGGCCAATTTTAGTTGGTGTCCTCTGAGTGTTATATTGCTGTTCAGCTTCAGTAGGTGGCGACAACAATGGTTTGGATTTCTCAGGATCATATAAGCCATTATCAAGTCGCCACGCAGGCGTCGATGTTGTCCACTGTAGATCCCGATGTTTTTCAGCCTCAATCGGTAAGCGAGGTGAAACAGGTCCTTTACGTTCTTGGTCGCCCTTCTTTGTGGCAGTTCAAGAGCGGTAAGGTCTTGCTTTTGCCATAGCTGCCAGGCGTGGATAGCGTACTCGGAATGTGGCCGAATGCAGGCGTTGAGCATCTGAGAAAAGATGGAAGGATTAAAGCGCCCGAATGCCCACTGCAAAAAGCCAAGGTGTTGGTTAGCTTTTTTGGAGGCTTTCTCGGCCTGAGCGGAACAGCCCAGATCTTCCTGCACTACCACTCCTAGATCGCATTTCGTTTTGGTGCGCTGCAATATTTGATTCCCCAGTCTGTATTCGCAAGTGGTTTTATGGCGTATGCTCAACACCTTGCACTTTGCAACGTTGAACTGAAGCAGGTTCTGAGTTGATCATTCGTAGACCCTGTCTAGATCATCCTGAAGTGCTTCATTGTCGCTGCTTGTTCTAGTGGCTCGCAATATCTTGAGATCATCAGCGAAGAGTAAGGAATTGGAGGTGAGCACTGTCGCGCGATCGTTTATGTTAATCAGGAATAGTCGTGGACCTGGTTCTAAGCCCTGGGGCACTCCGCACTTAACATTGATTGGGTCAGAGATGACGCCGCGAACTCTTACATTTAGATGTCGTTGAAGCAAGAAGTTACCTATCCAACAGAGGATTGGGTTACCCATTCCACAACACTGCAGCTTGTGAAGGAGGATACGGTGGTTCAGACGGTCGAAAGCCTTTGAGCGGTCCAGATATACTGCATCAACACCTACGCCGCTATCAACGGTCTCAGTGGAATTGGGTATAGCAAGTAGCAAGTTTGACGTGCAAGATCGGTTCTTGCGAAACCCATATTGTCCTTGTGCTATGATATTTCGTTCTTCCAAGAAGTTCAGCAGCGCTTCGGCAACAATCGCTTCCATGATTTTGGAGAGCACCGGAAGCAGCGGAAGATAGTTGGTCGGAGCTGTACGACTTCATCCCTTATGGAAGGGAGTGACGATTCCGTTTCCAGATTGTTGGCCCCCGTATCTCATCTAGGCAGCCTTGGAAGCCCTTGCAGTGTGGGTCCGCCAAGTTTACTGCAGCCAATTTTAAGGCCTTTGGACGAATATTATCAACGCCGGGAGAGGTATTACCGCGCAGGGCAATTAGCCTTTTCATAACATCCGCAGTCGTAAACGTGATGTGGCTAATTCCTGGTGGTGGTACAACGATTGGGAACAATGTATGCGGTGATGTCGTGCTCTAGGAGTTCGGAGCGAATTGTTGCCATAGGGCGTTGGCCACCTCGGTTGCGGTTTGTGCGAGTCCACATAACGTGTGTAAAGCAGGAATTCCTCGCTGCACTTTGCGGAGCTTGTTAACGTGTCTGTAGAGGAGCTTGGGGATTGAAAGGAATTTCTCAGCTAACTTCTGTTGATGCTGTATTTTGTTTTCGCGTACCAAGTTAATGCAGTGATTGGTTTGGATTGTCTAGGCTTCCCATGTTTCGGCACTCGGTGATTCCTTGTATCTTTGCTAGAGTAAATGTCTCATGACGATACACTTCCTTGCCCTGCTGCGCATAAATGACTTTACTGTCTTCATTCTTGAAGGCTATTTTCTAGAAGCACTAGTTATTAACGAGTTTGAATTGGTGCGCAAAATCAAATCAGGTGACATCGGGGGATCGTTCTGCTAGAAACGCCCAGTTTGTAGCATTTATAAGTTTGATTAGAGCGCCGTAATCCGTAATGAGCTGATAATCCTCCTTGTTTTTTGCGGAATACTCTGCATAACTGATATAATTGAATATAAGTGTTGCGTGGTCGTTACGTGCCAAATGACTCTCCATCGATGCCTTTTCGAACATAAGCTCTTCATTGGTGATTACGAGATTCAGGACACCCGGTTTATTTTCCGTCCTGAATCTTGTGGGACATGTGATGTGATTGTAGAGTGGTAGTCCACTAATTATCTCCTGTACTTCTATTTTGAAGTGTTCGTTGTTACAGGCTGGGATTTCTATGGTGTGAATGTTGAAGTCACATTACGACTGTGAGAGAATGGTCTTCATTACGGAGGTTAGGGGCTTGTTCATTTCCAAAATAGCTAAAGGAGGGCGATACACGACAACCAACAAAAGTGCGTCCCCAAGGCTTAGGTGAAGACAGCACCAAAGTGCATCGACAATCTGAACCTCTGGTTAATCGATGAGATCAATGTGTAGTTCTCTGCGATAATAAAGTAGTAATCCACCTCCACTACTGGGTCGGTCTTTGCGTAGAATAGACATCCCAGGTAGTGCGATATCTGCATCAGATCGCTTCGCTCAACTAAGTCTCGGTTCTCAAAACGAGGCCCCTTGACATCGCGGTCTGAAGCAAGCGAAGCTCCGTCAGCTTGCTTAAATCACCTTGTGCGCTGGTATAAAAACAGGAGAGTGATTCATATGGTAGAAGGTTGATAGTGGATGTAGGCAACAGGTTTGAGACTTGGCCGACTCTCTTGAGGTCGGCTGCTACTCGTTTTCTGAATAGTCTTCGGCTCGCGAGAATGAATTGGATTAACTCCCTGCACCATGCAATCAGGTTCATGAGGATCCTGATGGCCACTCACTTCCTGTGGTGTCTCACCGAATGCTATAACGGCTGTCAGACCAGTCTTTGTGATGGACTCTGCAATAAGAAGTGTTTCTACTGAGTTGCTTTTCGCCCTTGAGTAACCAGTAGCATCTGGTCGTAAACCTGCTGTCTTTAGTCAACTTGCTGTTGGCAGCATGCTCCTGAACTTACCTCAGTTTTCTAGAACTGTTTGTAAGGTTAGCTCAGACGGCAAGACCAACTTCAGCAACCTAGGACCACACCCTTTGTAATTTGATGACACGCTAATGCTTGTCAGGGAAGTGGCAAAGACATTTTCCAAAGACAGCTGTCGCCAATGTACCACCATTGCTCAAGATCGTGTGCCTGTGCTCCTTCAGGAGATGAAGGTTGAGACTCGGGGACGCTATGAATAATGATGGTTTTCGGCTCGTGTTTTCTACTTCCCTGTTAATTGTTCATATCCTCTGAACCTTCTTTCCACGGAATATCCGGTAAGATATGTACTCCGTTTGATGCTCTGTGGTGTCGATTCGCAGCGAGCAGAATGGATTCAGTTTCGTCCGCGGAATGTAGTGTTACTCGAAGTAGTCGTGGCTCACCATAGCGTAAGGAGTTTGGGTGTCGTAAGATGCGTCTTAGCGCAATGGGTTCAGCGCTCATGCTAATGGCACTAGAGATGGAATTCCACTGACTACGATCCTCTATTAGTTTACCCCTTATTGTGTTGGAGTTGGATTCAGGAACGTTAGTGCACACAAGACTTAAGGCACGATGATTACGCTTCGTGGTTCGCGGCTTAAGAGCACTAGGTTCTTTTGATTTTTGTGGATTTGTGGACCGCACTGGTGATAGCGATCCATGTTGAGGCACAGTTTTTTCCTCTCCGGTAAGTGGAGTCACAGTGTTTTTGAA